GCTGCCGCCGCCGACGGGTCCCCGCTGAGGCCGCTGCTCCGCCCGCAGCGCCATGGCGCAGTTCGTATTCGAGGCGGACCTGCACGGGCTCCTCAAGCTGGACACCCCGATCCCCAACGCGCCGCCCGCGCGCTGGCAGCGCAAGGCCAAGGAGAGCGGCACCCCCGGGCCCAGCCCCGCTGCCGGCGTGTCGCCCATGAAGCCGGCCAACCGCTCGCACAGCGCCAGCAAGACGCCCTCCAAGACCCCTGGTGAGCAGTGAAGGGAGCGGGGAGTGTCTGGGCTCTGCAGGCCCACCTGCCACATGGAGCCTGGGAAGGCCACATGGAGCCTTCCCAGGTTCAAGGTGGGCCTGACTGCATGTAGTGAGGGTGGCTGAGCTGTTGTCCCCAGCAGCGCCTTGCTCTGTGCTGTGGCACGTGTGGGAGGGTGTGTGTTGGTGGCTCTGCATCCTGTGTCAGCCTTCCTGCTTCCCCCTCTTAGCTGAGAGCACTGGGATTGCTGCATTAGACCGAAGGCTGTGCCTGATGGGGTACTAGGTTACAGTTGGGGACTGCTGGTGTACAGCATGGTGCAGAGGCTAGAAATGAATTGTCTGTAACTTGTATGGAATGAGTAACAATGCTCTGAGCCTTACTATCATTGTAGTACTTCTCTGGTGCATATCGTATAGTCCCTTGCTGGTAGAATGCCTCAGAGTTTTAGTTTTACTGCTTCTCTTGAAAGTGCTAATACAGGCTGTCTGGCTGCTGTAAGACAATATACTTATGAATCCAGGTAAATCAGGATCCAAAATACAGAACACACCAACAAAGGCTGGAGGGGACCGCTACATTCCCAACCGCAGCACTATGCAGATGGAGGTGGCCAACTTCCTCCTCACCAAAGAGAATGACCCTGCTGAGGATTCCCCTACCAAGAAGGTAAGCGTGCTGTTGGCTGTATTATGTTTGTAATAATAAGCATTATGCAATAGTTAATGCAACAGTTAATCCTCATTCTCCTTTGCTGGAGAAGCAAAATTGTCTGGGCTTGTGAGGCTACCAGTTCCAGCAACTACAGCTTCCAGCTCTGGGCTGAGGTGGAAGCTGTAGTGGCCGTAAGCGAAACGGGTGTGCAGCTGCTGTGTGTGAGCTGAGCATCTCTGCTCTGTGGGGATGCTTCCTTAGGTACAAGAAAGTGTAGAGCCTCCTGTTTTCATGCTGGTCTGTGTGGCTTCTGGTAGCAAAATTCACCTTTGAAGGGCTAATGAGGCTTTTGAATGGAGCAGACTAGAGGCACAAAGCTATGAGCCTGTACATAGTGGAAACTGCTGGTAGTAGCTATTCTAGGACAATGTCTGCATGGAGGAGCTGTTCTGGAATGTGTACGCAGTGTTCCCAAATCTGTTTATGAAGCACATGGTCCCTTGTGGCTGTGGCTTCCCCTCTGGCAATGAGAAACATTGAATTTGCCCCTCTTTTTGTATGGAAAACATTGTGAGCAGGACACAGTGCCAAGGTCTGAGGAAAATCTACTTTGAGCTGCCTGTGTGTAGCAGTTTCCTACAGTACAGCCATGTACCTTCTGATGCCAGTGAGGAGTGCTGGGCACATGCTCTACCAGCTGCAGTTTTGTCTGAGGTGCAGCCTGGACTTCATGCTTCGAATGAGTCCTGCTGAGGCCATTTCCTTTCTTTAGGAGCAACAGAAAGCCTGGGCAGTGAACCTGAATGGTTTTGATGTAGAAGAGGCCAAGATCCTTCGCCTTAGTGGAAAGCCCCAGAATGCCCCAGAAGGTAGGATGCTGATGCCGGGTCTGCCAGAGAGCTGACTCACCTGGAGAGATTTGGGGAGGGGAACTGTAACTCAGGGGAGAGAACAACTGACTTCCTCAGAGCTCTTGCATGCTGGTGTCTCCCTCCTAGCTTTCCTAAACTTCAGAGTCTGGTGAAACAGTTATGCTGAAGCTCTTTAATTTTTTTTCTTAATTAAGTGTACTTCTCTACACTGCAAATGGCAAATCTGCATGATGTCTGTAAAGGCCTCAAATGCTTTGCTGCACACTTAACAGCTTAACCGTTTGTAAATGTGGTGGGACACAGCAAACCATGTGCTTTTCAGCTAAGCACATTCATGTGAATTAGCTGGGGCAGGGCAAGTTCCAATTTCCTATTAACAGCCAGTGATGTTGATTTAGTGGCAGTAGCAGGGACAAATGGGCCATGTACAGGATTGGCACCTGCAGTGTAAGCACATATGCTGTGTTCCTGGGCATAACTCATCTCTTCCCTCTGGTGTTTGACTTTTCATGGAAAAGGTCTACTAGTCGGAATAACAGTGATCAGCCAGGAGGAAAAAGTAACTTAGGATAAAAGCTGTTTTTCTGCATGCAGGCTATCAGAATAACTTGAAAGTGCTCTACAGCCAGAAGACCACACCTGGCTCGAGCAGGAAGAATGGTAGATACATCCCCTCAATGCCAGATCGAATTCTCGATGCACCTGACATTCGCAATGATTACTGTAAGTAGGGTGCTGCGCTGAGCAGGCTCGGAGGTGGTTCTGCCCTGGAGTGCCACTGGGAGGTGTCTGTTGCTTCCTCTTGCTCTCTTGTTGAGAGGCTACGCCCCTCTGGCCCCACTTCTGCAGTTGGGATGGGTTTGGAAAGGCAATTTAGTGACCAATTTAGTGTCACTTTTGTTCTTTGGCTCCTGTGAGCTTCTGGTCCTGTTAAGATACTTCTGAATAAGGCTTTGAAAGAGTTTTATTGTAACACATTACATCTCCTCACCACTTTTTCCCTTTGTCTAGATTGTGTAAGTGCAACTTTGCTAAACTTTATTCTCTTTGCTGAAACCTTTGTGTGAGTTTGACCAAGGCTGAGATCAGCTTACGAATCCCGTATCTATGAGCAAGAAGGTGAATGAAAAGAGCAGAAAAACACTGGCTACATATTTTCTCCAGTGTTGTTCCAAGCACTGGAGCTAATTTGGCTGATTTGGGGTCTTATTCCTCCAGGCTGGTATGGGCCACTTCTGGAGTGTCTGTCCATGTGTAGCCTTAGAGGAGCAGTGGTCCAGAGTACTGTGCAAGTGCCTTGGATCAGGGCAATGTGACCCTGCTAGCTGAGCACAGAGACTCCCTGGAGACTGCCCCTTAACTGTGCTCAAGCTTAGGTGGAAGCTGTGGCAGCAGCCTTGGGTGAAAGGATTTTGCTGCAGTGCTCTGCTGAGGTGTGTACAGGGCTCTCCAGGTGAGTATAGTGTCCTGCACTGCTCTTTCAAATTGTAGATCTGAATCTTATTGACTGGAGCTCGCAGAACTTCCTGGCAGTGGCTCTGGACAACTCTGTGTTTCTGTGGAATTATTCCTCGGGGGAGATCATCCAGCTGCTGCAGATGGAGCATCCAGATGATTATGTTTCTTCTGTGTCATGGATTAAAGAAGGAAATTACCTTGCTGTTGGCACAAGCAATGCTGAGGTCCAGGTGAGTGTAGGAATAAAACTAGAAGTATTGTCTAAGGATTGCTGAAGATAGGGACCTTTGACAAAGTCTCAGCTAGCAGCAAATGGATTATGTGAATTCTGATCTGTCTTTACCCCACAAGTAGGAGGGCTGTTGGGTGTGTGTGGGCCTTACCCCTGTTAGGCAATGAGTTGTTGGCCTTGATGAGCATCTGCCAAGTGAAATGTGTGACCTCTGATAAAGGAACACACAGGACATCTCAGGACAGTGTACTCTGCTGTGGCAGTTGACAGGTATTATCTGAAAGAATCCTCATAGTTCTGTCAGCAGAAAGTGGCACAAATCCAAATTGGCTGTGCACATCTTTGCCATCGGCTGCTGCTCTCCAACAAGCTGTTTGTGGCTTTCATTGCAGTGGGAGTTTTCTCTGCAGTCTTGTCTACCAGTGGTTGTGCCCCTGGCTAGCGAGGACCCACTAGTCAGGGAGTTCATCCAGCTGCAGCCAGACTTCAGTGCAGGGACTAACTACAGCAGCAGCAGGCAGTGTTTGGCTTTGTAGTTTTCCAGAATTTGGATTTACTACTTGCTCTGTAGGCATGAGGTACAAACTTGTATCTCGTCCCACACTGGAAAGGTGGAATGCCAAAGCCTGTGCAGTGGGACTCCTGGGGCTAAAATAAGAGTGGATTTGGCTGGGGTGGGGGTGTGTGTGTGTGGTGTTTTTTTTCTTTTTTTTTTTTTTTTTTTTTTTTTTGTGCACTGGAAAACTTAGTGCTCTGCATCTCTAGCTATGGGACATACAGCAGCAGAAACGCCTCCGAAATATGATCAGTCATTCTTCACGTGTGGGGTCCCTGAGCTGGAACAACTACATCCTCTCTAGGTAAGATTGTAACTATGTGGGGGTGAATATCATGTCTGACTGCTGCAGGTTCCTCTTAGATACACACAGTGTGATAAGGGATGGC